GACTCTATGAATAAAATGATCTCATATAAATAGTCATAGGACTAGTTTGACATTTTACTCTTATCAAAATATGAAAGTTTGTCAAATTTTCACTAATTTATGAAAATAGGTAAATTCAATTCCATTTGTCATCGAAGAACATGGAAGTAAAACGTGTTTGCTGCCCCACTACCCCAAATGTTTTTCTCCATATTGGGACAAAGTTAAATTATCTCTCTAGGATGAGGCTAAACCAAATCCCAATCAGATTCCTCATTTTCCCTTAAGTGAGATGACTGGGTTGATGTCTCTTTAAGATGTTAATATCCATCCACAAAGATGATATGTTTTAATCCCATCAGAAATAATGTTAAACTATAATTCCACCTGTTTTAAGTTGAGAAGAAAATTAATCCAAGCTGTCTAAAGGCACAAAGCAGCTTATTTTGAACATGATAGATTAGGAGTAAGCTATGTGGCTCTTAATGCTACCTTGTCTAGCCCATCGAATGTTTCAATCCCCAATGAATTTCCTTGTAAACCCATTTATCAATAATTATTTATCCCCAATGGTCGCATTTTTGATACACTCACCCTAGTGCCAACTCAAAAAATTCAACTTATTAATCCATTGTGCGGTCAACTCTAAACTTTACCTACAAATAATCAAGTCAAAAACTAAAATCAAGTCACAATGTCAACAAAGCCCAAATGTTGCTTCGTAAGTGTAATTAACTAGAAGCCTATAGCCAACCCAAAACGATTATAGTAATAATTGTGATAAAGGTTTGTTGATTGGGTGGTTAAGTTAAATATGATGAGACCGCTATATTATAGTCATGACCATCGACTTCAATTTGTGATTTGTCATTAGAAGAAGCAACTTATAATTGCCTATGAAGATATTCAGATCAATTTGAATTGACTAAGTAGGTTAGAGTCCATAATTTGTTTAGAATGACAACTATGGGATCTTGATTGAGCGATTCATCAATCTCCCTACCAAACCCTTTGAGCACGAGTTTATAAGCTCTCTCTGGCATTAGGAGAGCCATTGCGGCAGCAAAAATATAAGAGAGTGAGGAATATCAAGTCTTGATCGACAATTATCTTTCTCACAAGTGAGGCACTGGTTTTAGGAACTCTTCAAATGAGAGCAATAAAATCTTCATAAAATGGCAAATATCTTTGGCAGGTTTTTTAACATTATTTTAATTTACCCTTGAAAATGAATTGCCCCAATCATGATCGATTAGTTGGCCTTTTTTAGAATTCAAATTATTTTAGTGTTACCTGCATCACATCATATTTTATTATTCATTAGCCATTTCTTTGAAGATATTCACTAAAGATTGATTATTAATTTTGTCAATTTTAAGTGAATGTGTTGCATGTGAAATTTATAACAGGTTATAACGTAATTATGCTTTTCAATTTAGAAAGGTTTTCTACTTGAGCTTTTACGATATTAAATGTCAGAAAGAGAAGCCATTCAGAATCATGCTTCATATTTGGGACAAATGCTTATGCATTAAGTGTATGTGAATTTCAAGTTATAAACTTTATTTCATCAACCCATAACCCATGCCGTCGATTCTTATCCCTTTACCATCTCCTCCTTTTGAATCTGCATCCAACTTTACACAAGATAGTTGTATATGTTGTGTTCTTGTAGCTTTTTCGAACTATGAAATTGTGTTTATTATTGATTGTAGATTTCAAAAAGATTTTATACATTAACATGGTAAACTTGTTTTCTATGGTTGTTGCATTAGACTTGATCATGTTTGCTTTGGTATGTTTCATGAATAATAATTGTTAAATTAACTCATGTTGAAGTTTTTTAAGCTTGACATATTTTATGAGATTTGATATTTGCCTCATTGCAAGCATAAATTTGGTGTACAATGGCAATAAAATTAGGAAGTTAATAATTTCAAGATTTTCTCATGTTGTTTAAGATTTTATTTCCTCAATTTGTCTGAGAGCATTTATAATATGTGATGATGCCTATGAGAATATGATATGATATGTAATATTTATGATTTTCCTGGATAGCCTTTAGCGTGGTTTGGTGTAAGTGGTTGGCTTTATTGGGTTATACTGTTGGATTAATTGATGGATTGAGATTTTCTTATGCTTTCTGAAATGGTGATCCTGTGGCAGATTTGAATTATTTCTTTTGGTAGTGCAGTGGTCTTAGTTCCTATAGTCTTTATGAATCATGTAGCTTGCATATCTTTGTGTTAGCTTTTGCTTTTAATATTGTGCCTTTTGTTCTTGTATCATTTTGTGTATTCTCTAGCAGGTGTATTTTTGTATTTGCTTTTGATTATGACAGTGAAGTGTCTTTTGTTCACATAACTCTTTGTAGCTTCTATCATAGGGAGTTTTTGATCCTCAGAACTCTTTGTAGCTTCTAGCATAGTAGTTATTATACTAGGTTATGCGATTGCTATCTCGTTTTTCTTGTAGTAATGAATGGCATCTTCAATTTTGGGTTACTTAGACTTATCCATCGACAAATTGAAAATGCTTTATCTTGCCAAATTCTACACATGCTTTTAGAATTTAACTAAATTGATATCAGAGTTAACCCAAAATCATACCGAATGAAAGTATTATTTCTAAAATTCATAGGGAATTAGAAACAAGACACTTGAAAATAAGAAAGTATCAACAAACATGAAAGATCCCTTTAGGGCAAGGATCGACTCTGGTGGGCTGCACGTTGAGGTACTGGAAACGGAGAGCGGTAGACAACAAGCATGCAGTGTTGTGGGGCGGCAGCAATCTGGAAATAGCATGGAGAGGCGTTAACAGCTAGGAGGGGGCGCAAGGCACGGGCAGCAGCAAGCAGGCTATGGGAAATATGGAAGGAAAATGTTGAGGTAATCACCACCTTAGAATAGAGTATAGTCAGAGAACCACCTTCTAGCAAGGGAAAAGACGTCAATGGTAGCAAAACTGGGGCAAAAATTGGCCTAAACACGACAAATAACATATATATCTTCTTTGGGTAAAGAGGAGTGGGTCCTACTCAAATAGGAGGGAACCGTGCGCAAGGGAGGACCGCTCGATTCTTCTCCCCCTGTATCAAATCAGTCTGTGTGCGGCATCTGCCACACCCGCACAGGCATGGCGTCCCCCCGCCCTGCATCATAAATTGTTGAGAGAATCAATTGAGGGATAGATGGTTTTAAAAACACAAATTTAAGCTATGTAGTTGAAACGTTTTTCATGCAATGCAACTTGATGACATGATGTTTAAAAATATATAATTCAGATTAGGAGTTTGCATTTTAAACAGTGATTTTTTAGATGTCATAAATTTATACAGATACTTTCTTTTGATTTATAAGTCTAAACTAAATGATAATCTAATGGCGCTTTAAATTAAAGAAGAAATATTAGAAATATGAGACCATAAAAATCGTAATCCTAATGGGATTCAGACCACATTTTGAAAACCTTGTTTGTGTGATATTTGATTAAAATCTAAATGCTAGGAAAAATAATAATAAAATAGTTAGAAGAGGAATTAATTCATGTAGAAAAAAATGAGGCCTCATGTTGGTTAAAAAAAAAATTGCTTTCCCTAGAAATTGATAGTCACTCTTGCACCGCACTCAAAGAACTCAATATTTACCCATGTGCACATGATCAAACAAAATATGAAATTTTATTTAATTTTACTGATGCATTTCTAAGATAATTCTAGTTCCTGATATCTACTGCCTCTAAATTACTCGTCTCTATTCCACAAATTATATCCAACTTGAAATACTCAATAAACATCCAAATATAATTCTCTTGTTCTGAATTCAAAATATTTGTTCACGAGAGTACCTGAAATAGAAAATTGGTTGACGGTACAGGTTAAAATGACAGATAAATTTAAATTAAATGACCACAACAGCAAAATTCTAGAAGCTGCAGTGTCTATTGGGCTTATGCCGCAAAACTGAAATATACAAAAACTTGTTTTCAAACTGCAGCCATCCATGCCTTACAAATTCAAAGAATCCCCCAAGCTAAAATTTCAAAAATTTCCAGGCTAGCCCATCATAATAAATCCAAGTTGTCATATATTTTTTTATAGCAAGTAGGAATCCCCATTTAAAAACTTGAACCAACTTAAACTGGGGATTGTCCAGACTGGAATATCGTAACTAAAGAGATTACTTCTTGTTTTTATATGCACATCATCACAGTCATATTCCAATTAAAGAAAATTGTTGCATGTAATTAAATTTGGAAACGAAATCAAACTAAACATGCTTAAATGATCTTTTTATTGGTTGGACATTTCAAGGAAGTATGTACTTGCCAGTGTCATCATTTTTCCTCTACGGAAGTTTTGATGTTTTTTTTAATCTTGAATGCATTGTTGCATGTTAATGTCTTCTAGCCTAATGAAAGAGCAATTACTTGCTCTTAGGGAAGGTCACCTAGTGAATTTTTTTTTTTAGTCTTTTCCTTCCAGGTGATTCCTTATTGATTTTACAAGTGATTGTTTTAAAGTCAAATTGGCTACAATTGTATTTCTAATTGCACCTTCAAATTCTGGGTGCATTAGGGGTTTTAATGATTTCAAATGTCCATTAAATCTCTTTGATGGAATAGAGCTTTTTATCACACGACACGTGGATTTCTCATATTTTTTAGTTTGCATAAAAAGATGACTTTTTGTTTGTTTGATGGCCTTTGGTTGTGAATTCTACATTTGCGTTGTTTTTTCCTATCATGTGCATCATATATCTACATTTAGATGTCCTACATCAACTACAGAAGAGCTTCTTCATAAAACATCACGTTATGACACAAAAAGAAAAAAACAACTGTCAAAAAATAGCTATGTGCAAATGAGATGCTAAAATGAATGGCATAGAAAGATAAATTTATCGTTTGTATTTAGGCTTTAGATGTAGTTACTATGAAACTTTGCTCAGGCTGTTCATTGTTTCCCTCTTCATTTATTACGTTATTTAACACAAGTTGATTGATCCATTTGACTGCAGCAAAATGCTCGGGTGCCCCAATTTGGAAAGTGGGAGAATGATGGCAGTGTTCCCTATACACAATATTTTGAGAATGCCCGAAAGGGAAAGAATGCAACAAAGCTGTTCAATCCAAATGATCCCCTTCAAAATCCAGAAGCGTTTCAACAGGAGGGTCCTCTAATTCATACCTATCCACCATCTAGTCAAGGATCGGCAAAGGCGAAACATGAGCGACGAAAGAGTCGAGAAGATGCTGACAGGAACCAAGCTTCAAAATACACGAGTGCAGAAGCCTTGCCATCTCACAAGCTTGTCTCAGGTTCACCAAACAGGCGTCATGATCAAGGAAATTTGGGTCATCCCCCTAGGAAGCAAAGTCAGAGTAATGTCGAATCTGATCACAGCACCGACCGCTCTCCTGTTCATCCTCATCTTCATTACAGATCATCAAGCAAAGGTACGATTTCTTCTCCTTCTAGAGAAAGGAGATCCTCATCAGATAAGCATGGACTTGCTCCCAACACTCCAGGAAGGACTAAAATGAAGCCTAGTGATCGCAACGATTATTCGGTAAATTGGCACCTTTTTTTCAATCACATTCATATTAACATATTAGCAAAAACTGCAACTCTGGTGATATTATAAGCTCCCATTTGATGCCACTTTGATTCAAACAGGTTGATAAAGGCTCGGCTGTGCCAAAATTTGGTGAATGGGATGTGATGGATCCTGCATCAGCTGATAGCTACAGTTACATATTTAACCAAGTGAGGGAGGAGAAACATAGTGGTTCTACTAAGATCCCTTCGAATTCCCGTGAGTCAAAATCCAACGGTCAAAAGAAAAGGGTCAACTCTGAATCCACGGTAAGTTTATCCCATTCCTCCCTAAATTAGGAGAGGTAACATTCATTTTAGCCAAGATCCTTACCATGGAATGCCTAGAAAAATGGTTGATAGTGGTGTCAAATTGCAAAATTTGCTAAAAATAAATCAATGTACGGTTGATTGATTGAAGTGATGTAAACACAACCTAGTAAAAGCCATTCAAATAAGGCTGGTAGGTGGTTTCTTGGTGTCAAAATGGGGGTATAATTTCAAAACTTTCATTGAGAAATTGCTTACATAGCATGCATGACACAGAAAAAATTCTGAAATGATCGGACTCTTAAAAAAGTATGATAATGTAATGATGATAAACAAACTGAAAACTCACTGATCAAATGCAAATCTAGTATGAATTCATGAATAATATACTTGGAAATTTACCATGAATAGTAAAAGTGAATGGTCAAGTTATTTTATTGAGATCAGCAGCACTGAAACTAATCGTTGGTTGTCTTAGAAAGAAAAGGTTGCTTTTGTACGTAAGAATTTTTAGTTTGATGGAAGAAAACTACAGTTTTCATGGACCTCAAACATAGTAAAGGAACGCGAGGTACAAGTAAAAGGCAAAGAAACTTCAGGGGATGAATGGACTGATTAAAGAATGGGGTGGCAAATCTTGATTAGAAGGGACCACCAAAACCTTAGGAGCTGAAGGTATAGTAACCTTTTAAGTGATTGGAGTGGCTGGAGCAAGCGCAGTGAAGGAGGATTAGTGGGGATGATCAAAAGCTTGGGAGCGTCCAATGAAAGAGTCCATTGAGCAGTACGGAGCAAGAAGAATGAGGGCCAAGATGAGCAGCCCAAAATATGTGACATCTTGAATGCAAAAAATAGACCGCTTACTATAGGGAAGAGCAGAGGATGGAGAAAGAAAATGGGAGACGAGGCGCTGCCCTAGTAGGACCAACATCATCTATGAACAAGCCTATGATTTTACATGCTGGATTCATCCTGAACAAGCACAGGGATGCAAGAGCAGCTCAAAAAAATATGTTATCAAGCTTTTAGGTAGGAGAATATTGTCACACACAAACAAATCTTGTGGCATTCATCGCGTTCATTAATCTCTTCGTCACATTTGTATAATTTAGTCACTCATCTTCATATGCCCGCTTTACAGCATACATTGAATTTTTATTAATTGATGTTTTTAGAAAATCAATTAATGTTAACTCAATCTATGATTTTACATGCTGGATTCAAAGCAGTAGGAAAACAAAATATGTTATCAAGCTTTTAGGTAGGAGAATATTGTCACACACAAACAAATCTTGTGACATTCATCGCGTTCATTAATCTCTTTGTCACATTTGTATAATTTAGTCACTCATCTTCATATGCCCGCTTTACAGCATACATTGAATTTTTATTAACTGATGTTTTTAGAAAATCAATTGATGAAAATTGATTTTAATCTATTAGGACTAAAAGAAAATATGACACTAAAGAGGACGCAATGGAGAAAAAGGATTTATGTAGCTGACTCCACATAGTGGGATTAAGGCTTTGTTGTTTTTGTTGATGTTTTTTGAAAATCTTGGAAATGGATGCACCTTAAAAAAGCTGCATGCCTCATAATTAAGATCTTTAATACTGAGTTATTGCTACGAAATGACAATATCTGTACGCTTGCAGCAGTTTTTTATTCTTGTTTTTAGATTATGGGAATTGGGTTTGTTGGAAATAGGGCAAGACCACTAGAGTAGGTCTCTGCTCAAATTAAAAGCAAGTCTGAAGCACGCAGGAAAATTCCATATGTTAATCCCAAACTATCATTTGTAGCATGCATCTTCATCCTTTTAAATGTTAAATTCTTCTACATGATATTTCACGCCAGATAACCTATCATTGAAGCCAGTTTCTTTGTCTTGCATTTTGTTTTTAATTTTATATGATTTTATAATATATGATATGCATATTATCTTTGGATATAAATAACATCTTCTATTATTGTGAAATATTATAAAGTTATTCTAAAAAAAACATATAATATGGCATTTATGCTTAAGAAATATGCTTCATATAAAAAAAAAAAGGTTACTGTATGTATGGTTTCTGCGAAATGAACGTTTCTTGAAGCATTAATGAGAAGTATTGTGAGGACAATTTATCTCTATTACCCTTATTTACTTTGCTGATTTTGAAAGTCATTCTTACAAATCGCAAAACTGACAAAATTTAATTTTTTGAGCAGTGAAACGTGAACAATAACTGTCCCACTCTACGACTTGTAAAACAACAGTTTAAACTATTTCAGAACCTTAAAGGAAATATAGGCTTCCTTTTAAATTTGATATTTTAGTCTGTTTGATTACATTAGAAATCCATTCTCTAGAATTTTTTATGCCACTTGAGCTTTGTATTTATGGAAATCTGATAATTATCTCCTCATGGTTATCACTATAGGATCTGTGCTGCTTCTGTTTCAAAAAGTGAAGGATGTTGTCTGGATCAAAGATTTGTCTTAGTTTGTAAATATCTCACAGAAGATCCGGCTACTGCTTAGTTGCTTTGTTGGAAAAGTTTCATTCTTCTAGAGTGTGTCACTGTCAGCTGGAAGGAAAAGGCATCATCATAGACTTCATGCTTTTCTCCCTAAGGTATGGTTCCCACTGATATGAGAGGGCAATTAAGGAAAATAGAAATTTATTTTGCATGGTCAATGTTGCAGCAATTCACTGGAAGTGTCAGTATGGATTTCTAAGAGGTTTGTAGCTCCTATCTGTTGTCATATTTATTACAGTTCTGATCTTATCAATTTATTTTTTGAGAAATGTTGCATGATTTGAACATATGAAGCCCAAAATGAATTCCAATGAAGTTTTTTCTAGTTCTGAATTTGTGATATTTTAAACTTCCTGATCGAAAATGTACAAATTCAGTGTAGCATGTAACTTTTAATATGGTAACAGGAGTGCAATAAAAAATTGCTTGAAATAGGAGCGACAATGTCCTACACAAGTGTTTTCGTGAAGGTGAAATTATTGCATGAGGACACCTAATGTAAATTTGCATCAGGTGTTCAGTAACAGGGGGCCACGTGACAATTTGGGCCTACTGACATACACGGTTCTGGCCCGGGTTGCCACTTGGCACCCTATTATTGGACACAATAATTTGTCCTATGTGAGGGCTTCTTTCATGCTTCAGCGTTTGGTCTATTTGGAGGATCCAATGGCCTTGTCTAAATGACGCACCAGCGGGAATTATATATTAGATTCCTTCATGCAAATGTAATTTTTTATTGGAGATATAGCTGAAATTAGTTTAGTGTTATAATTAGTTTAATAATGATAGTTTTTAATATTATTTTTATTTAGTTTTTTTTTTAATTTTATTTTTATTTAGTATTTGAATATTATTGTTATGAACAGTAGTTGTAATTGTTTGTCTCTGTTAGTAGATTCTTGGTTAAAAATGTAGAGATTAAAATAATAAATTTTTTTCAATTTATCTATTTTTTTGTCAAATTAAAAATTCTTTAAGAGAATTAAAGCTTAATTTAGCATTATGGAATGAGTGATTTCTGCAATGATTTTTTAATTAGTGTAATGTTTAACCCATACCTTTCGAAATGAGTGAGTTATTCCAATTTGTGTTAATTATAAATCAAGTAAGAGAAGATATGTTAATTAGACTTTTAGGGGGAAAAATATTTTTAATCAATTTTTTAATTAGTGATTTTTATTATTTTATGGGCTCCAAAAATTTGTGGCCCGAACCCTCTTGTGAGTAGGTTTTCGTGGGTAGTTCTTGGTTAAATTTTTAGAAGGTACGTTAGATTATGGATACGATATATTTAGAGATTTTGCTTTTATGATAATGCAATTTTAAGGTTTATTTTGAGATTTTTTATAGATGTAAGCTCTTATAATTAATTATCTTCTTTATAATTGGAGAAATTATCAAGTACATTTAATTATAAAACATTAATTTTCTAGCTTAGAGTAAATTGTAGGAGTGTGATGAATCAAAATTATATGATTCTGTCGTCTCGAACTATCTTGAAGCTTACTCTACTTAGTGTAGGTAGCTGATATGATTTAATCTAAGTATTCTTATTGGTAGCCATAGATTACATTGTCTAAAGAGATCTTGTAAACTAAAGGTGAAATTTGTAGTGTAGGTAGCTGATATGATTTAATCATAGTATTCTTGTTGGTACCCATAGATTTCATTGTCTAAAGAGACCTTATAAACTAATGGTGAATTTTTTTTTTTAAGTGGATAAATCTAAATCAACTTTAACTTATATAGAGCATTTTACCCTTTCAAATGCGTCTTGTAATTCACAACTTGAGAGGTAAAACCATTAGAGAACATACACATTATAACCATCATCATATTATGACGGTGTTATTTTGTGATCAATCGTAAGTCTTAGCTCAATATAATTTTCTAGCACACACAAATAGAAATGTAAGAAACAACCTAATTTTTATATGAAAACCTCAGAAAGGAAAAAAATGGAGTCTAACTCATTCAAAGCAATCAACTATGTAATTAAAGGTACATTGATCCATTCTTTATTTAAACTAAGGAATATGAAATTGTAAAGTTATGTTCACAACTATGTTGGGATAACTAGTAAGCATGACTGTGAAGTGATAATTTGGTTACAAAAGCTATAGTGGGGCTATAATTGTGATATCTAGGCTATAACAGTGGTATGGGCTACAACAGTTGCAGTTAGGCTATAACAATCGTAATTGGGCTACAACACCTACCGGTGGTTGGGCTATAACAATTCTAATTGGGTTACAAAAACCACTAGTGATGACCGACGACTGATAGTAATCATTGATCTTGCACTTCTATTCCAAAACTATGCTTTAGTTGTTACCTCACTCTTCTTCTCCTACCCTTTCATCTGAAGAATATGGATTTATAATAATTTTTTAGATATGTGTTTTGATAAATTTAGCCAAAATTTCAAAACACTCAATCTGACTTTTTAGTTATGTTAAACACTCGATCTTGCTTTCCTCTCGCTCCTCCTCCCTTTCACCTTTATCTGTTCCCAGGAATCTCGTCGGTATCAGCTGCGTTGGGACTGTGTGTGCATACAGAGACAGGGGAGACAGACAGTGTTCGTGGGTGAGAGAGAGAAAAAGAGATTCTCTATATATTTACATTTTTAATATTTATTATATATTCACCTTTTTAATATATAAATTCTTTATAACTATCATAAAGATCAATTTATGTTAAATATTAAAAAGCTTCTTAAGAGAGTGAAATCACGACAAAAAATTCATCGCTATGAGCAATGGTATGATAGTAATTTAACCCAATTTAAATGGCAATGAACTGCGTGCAATTGCGATAAAAATAAAAAAAAAAACTTTGGTTTTCTTTTCATTGATTAAACATTATTAATTAATTCAAAGTTTGTCATAATATTTTGTTTTTATAATTATGTGATGTAAGCTCATTTAATTTTTTTTTCATTAAAATTAGCAATTAATTCTAAGATAAAGCAATTTTTATTTTTTTTTATTATTAAATATTATAATTTTTGTCATAATTATTATTATTAATTAGAAGTTTATAAATATATAAAAATAACAAATCAATTTTAATTATGTGATCACATCATTGAGACATTTCAATATATCAAAATGAATCAAACAAGCTAAGGGTGCGTTTAGGGTAGTTTATGCTTATATAGATAAATTGTTTATTTAGAAATGCGGATCGCGGGGTTCGACCAGTGTTCCGTGTTTAATGTAAAAAACCAACAACATTTTCGAATAAGCTGCTCAAACGTAATTTTCAAACAATGAGGCGGTGTTTTCAAAACGCCACTACAGTGGATAAGCTGCCTCAAACGGAGCCTAAAGATAAGTATAGCACACAATAACTTATTACTACCTTCCATTACTTCAAATTCCCTGCCTTAATTTACTTATATGAATTTCTTGAGCTTGTCATGTAGCCAAAACTACAACAATGACTAGTTAATTCATAGTTAATTCATACTTCATGTTTTGGGTAGCTAAAATATAAAAAATTTGAAAGAAAAGACTTAGCAAATCATTAGATAATGCTAAAATTTTATCGTTAGCAAATTAATAGCGAGACACACATGTGCCATATGGCCCCTTGAAGCTATAACAACCTTGGTGTCTAGTACAAATAAATGCATAAGCTTTAGGCGATAGTAATGAAGATGAAGAAAATGAAATTGAACAATGACTAGTTAATTCATACTTCATGTTTTGTCGTAAATCTTTAGCTTGTAGTATGTTTTTAGTGACGGCCTGTACTCACCAACAGAATTAATTCAACGTTATTGAGCAGTTAACAAGCTTGAACAATACATGGGTAGATTTTCTGCAACAGATGGATATAGCATTGTAATATGATTGGAAAATCAGTCCAAAATGTGCAGGAAAGTAAGCGGTTAAGTGAGGAGGGCCGAGTCAGCATGCTACGTGAAAAGGGAAATCAATCAGAGCACGCTGCATGGTCTTTCGGGGACACCGAGGTTGAGTTGGACGCTGCGTGGTTAAGTTGATGAATAGGATATTTTAAGTTTAAATAAATTCAAAAAAATGAGATATAACTTTACAAAATCATATCTTGGTGTAGAAAAATTCGAAAAATAAAATAAAAATATATCTGTGCTTAGTGAACAGAGAAGAATTCAATGAACCAAAAATTTAAAATAACTATCTTAGATTTAATTTTAAATTAATTTAAAACCCTAAAACTTATTTAAATCATAAATAGTTACATACTTATCATCGTGGCTTGAGAATTTCAGGGTCGATTCTTTACATGATTAGAGATGTTCTTTGATCTTTCCAAAGTTAGAGAACACTTTTAACCCAAAAAGCCTTAATTTCCCATGATAATCACCTCTGTCCATTTAAAATAATAATAATAAACAAAATAAAAATAAAAATAAAATTATAAAATCAAGTTTAATAAGTTCATTAAAGTATAATCACCTCTGTCCATTGAAATAAATTAAAAAATTATAAAAATTAAAATATAATTCAAAAAATCATAAAAATTATTCCAAGAGGTTCTCTGACTTTGAGCAACAACATAAATTTTTTCTAACATCAAAGGTTTTTTTTTGGTTAATTAAATTAATTGACATTATAAATTAAAATTTGAGGATTAAAAATAATTACAAAAAATAATTGAATTTTAGAAAAAAAATACAACTCTTCTGACGTCTTAATTAATCTATGGGTAAGAGGCCAATAATGTTTCTTGGTCATTTGATTAAAAATATAAAAGTTTTGGGGTGTATACCCTAAGGGTATACATATAATTTTGAATTTTACACCCTAAGTCTAATTTAATTAAATTTTTTGTTAAACCAAAAGAGAAGGATATTAAATCACAAAGAGTAAATGAGGTAGTAACCCACTCATGACTTTTCAATAAATGGATAAAATTGTAATTACTTGAATTGTTGTGTTTAGGAAGACATGAGAGTCTGAAATGATTCAAGAGTGAGGGGTATGAGTCAGAAGATTAATGTTTCACTCATTTGGGACCCTCACTTAATGTTTGAATAGAGTTCAATCCTTTCAATGAAGATCAAACATATTTCATAAAGTTTATTTTTTAATTACAAGTTTACCTCTTAAGCCTTAAAAGCTTAGTAGTGAGTTAGGTTTAATATAATATCATTTAAGGGATACTTAAAAAATGAAATATAAGTGATAATGGAACATTTTAAAACACTACAAGCTCGATCCCAATCGAGAGGGGCAAGAGTGTAAATTCTTTAATGACTTGTAAATATACCCTTAGGGTTTTATCCATATGATCTAACCATAGTGTCAAGAATTGACCAATACCCCTACTCATGGGATTATTAAGACATAAAAAACTGAGCATATTTTAAAACATGAAAATACACAATAAACGGGTTGATCAACTCAACAATGTAGAAATGTTAAATGAACTAGCGATGTTCCAGGGTACCTTATGGTGTTTCAGAATTACATCTTGGAATTTACACCTCTATAAGCTTTGTAAATTTTGTTGCACATTTAGATTTACTACAATTTGTTGAGGAAAATCGTCCTCAAACTACAACAATCGCTAAAACCCAACAAACATGAAATCCTATACGATTCGAGACTCTTTAAATCAACACATACTAAATGGAAATACTCTGCTACAACTTAACCTACAATAATACCAAATGCTCAGGGGTATGTGCCTTGGATATAGTGCTCAAACCCTTTTTGAGCAAATTTGGATATTTAAAACATGACAATTTATATGGTCCATCAGGCTGACACATAAGTTGGACGTGTTGGTGGTATGAGCAATGATGACAAAAGCATTTGTGAGAAATTCGGGATGACTAAACAATATTTGTATCTCCTGACCCGAGGACATTGTGAGAGCACATGATTGGCAGTACTATTCACTGATATTTGATAAGAGATGACCATTGCCTTCTTAGGTTGCTGGTGATTTTGCCCCGATTGTGTAACTAACATGTGGATAACATAATTTACAAATTATAAAATATGATGATAAAACAAATACATTTCTAATGAAAAATGATTTTTTTTGCTCAGTAAAAATATAACTTACTTATATGCATGACAAACTACATATTTTAGGTGCTACCCCAAATATCCATATGTTAGTTACCCAAACTAGGCCAAGAAATGCCCTCCTTCGATTATCTTATTTGCAATTTCTAATCAATGTCGGAATATTATACACACAGATTGACGACGGTTGCCTACGAAGTCCTTCGAGAATGAAAAATTTGAGTCCATGCCTATATATGAGATCTATTGGATCTTATTCAAATTAAAATACCATTTTAAAATTAAAAAAAAAATTATATACATATAAATTAAAGCAATCGACAAGATTCCCATTTGGAGACCGACAGTCATATATCTCAATTATTTTATCGCATAGTTTATATAATAAAAAATAGATCAAGGAGACATAACTAAAATGCCCATAAGAGAAATAAAATACAACAATGCTACCAAATTATCATCTCAATGAAGAAAATTTCATTATTAAAAAAATATTTTTTAATAAATCATTAAGATTTATGTAAGCTTCTGTTTTTTTAGAGTTAAATTTGGCATATCCTTATGTTTGTCATTTCATTTCAATGTAATGAAATACTTATTAAAGTTCATCAATGTATATCTAAGCAATTAGATATTTTACTTAATGAATGCTCTGAACAAAGAAATTTTTATGAATTGTTTGTTTAAAACTTTGTGTATTAAATTTGAGTGAAATAATTTAATTCATAAAAACATTCAACTATGACAAATTATATGATAGAATAACATTGATAATTTCTGTAGCAATATACATACATATATATATATATATATATATAATAATAATAATAATAATAATAATAATAATAATAATAATAGCTTCAAAAATAAGTGAAAAGGTGAAAATAAATATAATATTTTAAACAAGCTACTTATGATATATATATATTTTCTTAGTAAGGCTTTTTAGAAATAATTTTTTTTTAGAAAATTTTAAAATAATAAAAAATAAAATAAAAATTCAATACTCCACCCAACTAATAACATTTAAAGTGAATGCACATATTATAAAGAAATTAAAATTAAAATTAAATAGCTACAAAGGAAGGACATATAAAAATAATAAAAACAAGGTTAACAAATCCTAATTAATTATTTAAGAAGAACAAATTTATTTTAAAGTAAATACGATGTAATATTTATGTTTTATTATATTATAATTATTATAAATTATATTACTAATTTGAATAAACATTGGAAATTAAATAAAAGTAAAGAATATTAAATAGTTTAATTCAAAACTTTAAATAAAAATTTATAAATATTTTTTAAAATATAATAATATTTACAAGGAATATAATTAAATAAATAGTTATTAAAAAAGAAATATATAAGACATTAAAATTTATTCTAATAATTTTGTTTCAAAATATTTTTAAAAAATAATTCATTTTACATTTATAAAAATATGTTAATTAATTTTTTGAATAAATTTGATAAAAGTGATACTTTTTTAAATTTTAAATTTTAAATTATATATATATTTTTTAAATTTATATGAAATTACAAGAAAATTTTAAATTTTACATGCATAACATTCAAAATTTTATTATTTACAAAACTAACAATCACTATCATATTATTGATAATTTGATAAAAAAAAAAATAAGAGCATGAATTTTATGATGAATTTTGATATTTAAGTGAATGAAAGAAAATGCAAATTTTAGAAAAAGTAAAAAAATTGAATACTACGTTGTAATTGCCCTAAAAAGTCTTTATAAATTGTCCTTTATAAAATTTGTTCCAAATTATTTCTGCGGATGTTTTCTCTAGGACTGTCAATACGACTCGTTTTTCACGAACAGATCGTGTTCGGCTCATTAAGAAGCTTGTATTTGGCTTGTTCGTTAAGTTAACGAGCCGAACACAAAGAAAGTTTTGTTCGTTCGTGTTCGGCTCGTTTTGACTTGAAATACTACTAATCAATTATTTATTTATATATATATATATATTTGATGAGTAGTATTTTTAAAAAAATTAATTGATACAAGACTACAAAAATTTATAATCAATTAAAAGTATTAATTAAGAAAATAAAATAAAAATTATTAAATTAGATTCAAATGATGTTTTAATATAAACAAAAAGTTTTAAAATTTTGTCCAAATCTTTAATAATTTATGACTACACAATTAGAATTGTCAAAACTATTCTTTATGTTCACTCTTATTCGACTCATTAAACTAACAAAGCAAGGTGTCACCTCCCAAAAGAGCCCTTAAGAGAAGTGGACAACACATGACTTAAATACTGTTTTTCCGCTCTACATCTAGCCGAGATGAGACTTTGTTCATGACATTCTTCTCCACCTAATCACGTGACGCCCTCATCACGAATCGGCTCCACCTAGGGTCCTACTGGACCATGGAGAGTCCACACACCTGGCAGGCAGTAATCTGCTCTGATACCACTTGTCACCTCCCAAAAGAGCCCTTGTGGGTGGTGGGCAGCCCAGGACTTAAATATTATTTTTCGGCCATAGAACTAGCTGATGTGCTCCCTTCGCTTGTGTTCGGCTCGTTTACACCCACTTTTCTCAAATTACTTGACGACGAAGAAGCCAACGAAGAGCGAGGTTGGCTTTCAAAGCTATCCCGATTCCGATCCCGACCTTCCTAGTAATTCCACTTCTCTCAGCTGTCGCAGATGAGGGGAAATCCAGAGCGAGGCGGCGCATGGGCTACAATGATCGTTGTGAACACGCCGAGCCAGGAGTTCGCTCTCACCAACTTTGCCTTCTGCTCTGCCGGCGATTTTCGGAAGTTCGCAACACCGGGATCCGGCTCGGCCCTGGTTCTCGTTGGAGATTCTCTTGTTCTTTCCCTCATATATCCTTTACTCGGCTATTTTATACATTCAGATTCTTCAATCCTGGATCGGTTTCTTTACGAGTGCCACGAACTTGTTCTATTATTCTTTTAAATTGTTTAATGTTCGTTTTGCATTTATTTGAATCAATCCTTAATAAGTTCTTACTAAGCATGGCAACATTCCGGATGGTCAAATTGCTCTTAATTCTATCCAACGCCGGCACACAAAAGTCTCGGCCGGCGATCAAATATCTGTTATTACGTGAGACTTTTTTTAAAAAAATCTTTTCCTCGTATCTTAATTTGGTTATGTTTCTTTAGATTGCCTTTATCTCTGTTTTCTTATTTAACATAATGGATTCCCGTTCAGATTTTTTCCGCCATCTTGTTTTTCTCTAGCATTGCTTACGCTTGAGCTGGACAATGTGAAAGCAAAAGCAAATAGAAATGAAGAGGTGCAGTCCAATATTGAAATCACATAAGGCGTAAACCATATAATTTTCAACAAATAACTTAAAGTATTATTTTATACCCATTGCTGATTGAATGAATTTTGTTGTTTGATGTTTACTTGATGTTTTTATTTGCAGCTAGATGCTGTCGTTCTTGCACAACATCTTCGTAAGAAGTTTGTTAATCAGGTCAGGAAATTATATTTCTTAATTTTTTTTTTTTTTTTTTTGAAGGAAGTTTGTTAATCAGGTCAGGAAATTATATTTCTTTTTTTTTTTTTTTTTTTGAATTTTTTTTTTTGGAATGGAGAAGTAGGTTTTGACAATAGAGTAAATATTCTACGTCACAGTAAATTAGATTTTTTTTTCATATCATTGGAATAATTTTGTCTAAATTATGATAGACTCTCTCTTATCTAGTCGTGCACGCACACAAAGACATGCAAAGTAGTAATATTATTATTTATGTTTCCTGTACTTTATGAATCCATCTCTAGATAATAATGTAACAGTGACATATAATTTTTAGTTCCTTGTTATTTGTGTTAGCTTACAATTTGGTCTAGAAGTTTTGAAAATTAAATTGTTAGACTTTTATGTAAAAAAATCATCTTTTTATCGTTTTTTTCCAAAGAAGTCAAATTTGCCACTATCCCTCATGAAATGATTAGTTTTTCCCGGTTAAAATTTTTCTTCATCTCCAAATCTTCTCTAACCATACCACACTTCTCATTCTTCTTCTGTTTTCTCTAAAAATATAGGCACATGTGCTCATAACAAATTTAAATTTGTGTATAAGAATGAATTCTATTTACTTAGATTGTGATGTTATGATCTTCAGATGCATGATCAAAATTTACATTCTCTAAAAGTAGTATGGACTATAATGTAGATTAGAATTTTTTTAAAGATTTCTTTTTTTATCACCAATCAAATACATAAACTTGTCACAATGGATAGCTCTGATTGCACTAGAAGACATTTGCAAATTTATGGCTCAAGGGTTTTCAAATTGCTTTTAATTAAGTACACGCGTTGTTAATGATATTTATTTTGTTTTGACCTCTCGAGTTTTTTCTCGTTTACTGGATGAATGATTTAAGATATTATAAAAATTAATGTAATTTGATCCATAAGAATGTAACACACATCTGTAGGTTTGGTATCACACCTCACCTCACATGATCATGCAACTTGTCTCTAATTTAAAATTTTTTGAGACACTTCTTGTTGGCATTGATTTATACACCTTCTTCAACAAAGAGAATATTGTTGGGATATTTGTGGATAGCAATTTGTCTATCATCTGTATAGATATCACATTATCATAACTGTCTCCGTCTATTAGAAAATTGTATACCTTCTCTTTCATAAAGCAATGAGCTTGATAGGTATTATTTTTATGCCATTGTTGATTGGTCTTAGGCTCGTTTTAGAGAGCTCGTCAAATCACAAACATCTCATTATCATCTGCACGTACCTGGTATTCTCGAGCCTCCTAATCCCTTGGGCCTTCACTCCCTGCCCCATCGATCACACTTTGTTCCATAAAAAAATTACTCTAGTTCATGCAGTTGGAGACAATGTGCACGTATTCATGACACTTGAAGTATTTACTAGCTGGAAATGTCTTAGGCTTCTTGTCCTAATCAGTTCTTTTTTTCTCATGTGATGAATTCTTCTCATGGGGGATTTATCTTGACCCTCTGGTTGGTGTATTTTTGTTGCCCGATATAATAGTTGAACCAATTTGAACTGTAGTGTGCACTTAATATTACTGTTTTGTCTCTTCACGTTCAGAGATAAGGTTTAAATATTCTATTATATCGAATTGAGCTGTAGCTACACCACGTTGCCAATAGATGGTTTGAATCCTTAAATATATCGAACAATGGTATTTTCTTCGGGCTCTACCAGCTCATATTTCAATATAAGCTGCTTAAACTTAACGGTGCACCCCTCTATTGAGAGATCTTTCATGGTTTAGGGCTTGAACAAGTCAGAGAGGAAGAAGCTTTTCTAAGCATGGTTTAGGGCTTGAACAAGTCAGAGAGATCTTTCATGTTTTATTAAGCTTATTATTAAAATTTAATAAGTTTTATTATTAAATTTTTATAGTATGTTTATATGTGCATGTTTGGCTCTGATGGAGCTTGTATGTTTATTAAAAAGGTAATATTTTTCTTATAATATTTTTTATGAATTTAATATCCATTATTAATGGCAGATGCATAGGAACCGTGAGAGGCACATGGCCTCACTTTGTCTCA